GCTTCATTGGAGCCACGTGATGCTCCGCGGTGAGTTTGGTCGATGACGAGTTCAGCCGCAAAGTCGCATTGCGAGCTAATGGGAATTTTAAAAATAAAACCTACATCGCAGCAGGTTTCTCGGCGGCACTACCACGGCGGGTGGGGGAGGCCCCACGCTCGTCCTCACGAGGTCAGCCTTTCATGAGCCGTTTCCGCGGAATCAGACGAAATGGAGGGTTCCGGATGCTCCCTTTGTGTTTCCAAATATTCGCAGGGAACACCGGCTCCTTTCAAAGTGTCTGTGGAGAAGTGAACCGACTCCTGACCGCCCCCCAGCCCCGCCCCACACTCTGCGGCCTCACTGGTGTCCGAGGAGAAGGGCCCAGCGGCCAGGTCTGTCCGTCCATCCACCCAAAGTGCAGTCCACAGGGCCACCAGGACATGGAGGTCACCTGAGCCTTAGCCGTGACCTGCTTTCCATGTAACAATTTTAACAGAAGGGGGGCCTGTCTGGCTCCGGTACCTGCCGCCTGGGCTCCAGGGAAGGTAAGACGGGATGGTTCCCACTGAGTTACCAGAAGGAGAGAAAAAGACACCCCACATTTTAAGGAAACACTTTTCCTGGGGCCCCCACTGGCCACATTTCCCCCAATCACAGTTCCATTCCAAGTGCCCGCATCTCCGCCCCCAGGACTGGTGGGCACCCCGTGTTCCGTCTGCCCCCGGGCAGCACAGCGCGTGGGGGGCCGGGCACACGGCCGAGCCAGGCCACTCCCTGCCGTCCTGGCCGGGACTCGTCGTTGGATGGAACGGAACGGCCGCCTCCCGAGACCCAGCTTTGCTAAGGTTCCTTCACCCTCGGGCTCTGGAAGAAAACCCACCCACATGTGAGCGAAACAGATGGAATGTCTGTGGGCCACGGCCGGTCAGTTCACGGAGTGTGTGGCCCCTTAGGGACCCGCGACCCCACCTCAATTCCTGCTCCTGCGTCCCTGCGTGATCCGGTGCCACCGGGCACAGCTCGGCCGCCCGTGGCCGCCCACGTGCTTAACCTCCCCAAACTGAAGAGGCATGGAACGTGGACGTGGGGTGTGCGGGAGCAAGTCGGAGCTGGAGGCCCCATTCTGGGGCGGCCGCTCCCCTGCGAAGGGGCTACAGCTATTCTCCACTAGCCCGTGGCACACTGGGGGACTCGGCTCAGAGCTACACTCCCCACCTGGACCGGCTCTACTCATGGGGACCCGCTGGAGCCCCGGAGACGGCCTGGGTGTGCTTGCCGCCTGCAACCTTCCTAGTCATTTGAGGGCAGCATTTCTCTTTGGTGGACGATGGGGGTGGCCTGAGAGGACTGTCTCTACCCCTGTTTACCTAACCCTGCACCCAGGGCAAGCCCTGACCCAGAGTGCAAAGCCCGCCACCAGGCCCCGCCCGCTGGGAGAGAAGGCCCGCTGCATAGCTCGCAGGGCTGGTCAGGAAGAGCTCACCGGGAACCCCAGGAAGAACGCCGCGTCCCAGACACGCACCTCGGCTCCGCGTGGGGAGAAGCAGCTCGTTGTCAGCGCAGGAAGCGCTGGCGGAAAACAACCAGGCGCCTCAGATGGAGAGTCTGGCTCGTTCACGTGGGCTGTGCTGTTGACAATGGAAGACAAACAAACAATCCACAAACAATATGGCTTAGCAGACCCGCACCGCAGAGCAGCCGCTGCAAACGCATGAGCCACAGCGCGGCCGGGATGACGGCGACACGAGGCAGGCGCTGTGGGAGGAGCGCGCCGTCGGGGTGGGCGGAGGCCCAGCTCGTGCTGGCGAGCTGCAAAGAGGTGTTTCTCTCCTCCTGGCACATATGAGCGACGCCCTCTTTAACACTCACAGGGCAGAGCAAGAACGGCCCGACGTCCACAGAGCGGGGCTCAGGGTCTCTCCCCACTGTGACCCGCGGGCTGGCGGTGGGAGACGGGAGCGATGGCCCCGTGGGTGCGGAGGTTCACTTACAGGAGAGGATGAGGGTGTCAAAGCACAGGCCCCGCGAAGCTCTGTGCTGATGCCACCGAGAAACAAAAGCCTCGAAGGATCCTGCCCAGCTGTGTCCGGCTGCCCGTCCTCGCCCAGCTCAGCCCTGGTTCCTCTGCCAGAGCCTGGGCTGGCCGGGCTTCCTGGGTGGCAGATAACAGACCAAACGGGGGAGCAGCACAAGAGGTGGACTGCCCGGCTGGTGTGCTCAGTGGTGAGCATCGACCTAGGAACCAGGAGGTCACGGTTCGATTCTCCATCAGGGCACATGCCCAGATGGTGGGCTCCATTCCCAGTAGGGGAGGGGGCATGCAGGAGGCAGCCAATAGATGATTCTCTCTCATCATTGACGTTTCTATCTCTTTCTCCCTCTGCCTTCCTCTCTGAAATCAATAAAAACATATATACATATCCCATATAATAAAGAGGTAATATGCAAATTAACTCTCATGCCCTCACAAGATGGCTGCCTACGACCAGGCCGACAGGGGGGTTAGTGAGGGACGACCTAACGACTGAACAGCAGGCTGCATGGGGTGACCAGGTCAGCGGGGGTGCCGTGAGGGGCGACACCAAGGGGTCCTGGATTGGAGAGGATGCAGGCTGGGCTGAGGAGACCACCACCATCCCGCCCCCCTCCCGTGCATTAATTTCATACACCGGGCCTCTAGTCCTACATAATAAAGAGCTAATATGTTAATTAGACCAAACAGCAAAACGACCTTCCGGACGACCCGCTCTGGGGTCTGAGCCCGTGGCACAGGGTCAGGAAGCCGTCCTGGCTGGATTGGAGAGGATGCAGGCTGGGCTGAGGAGACCACCACCATCCCGCCCCCCTCCCGTGCATTAATTTCATACACCGGGCCTCTAGTCCTACATAATAAAGAGCTAATATGTTAATTAGACCAAACAGCAAAACGACCTTCCGGACGACCCGCTCTGGGGTCTGAGCCCGTGGCACAGGGTCAGGAAGCCGTCCTGGCCGTGGTCAAGCGCCTCCCCCTTCGCACTCGGAGCTTGTAAACAAAAGGGTTTGCATCATATTCCAACCAGGCAAAAAGGACAGCAGGTGCGTGAGGTTAGAAGGGGCTAAACTTAGATGTGGGCGTGACCACACGGCCGAGGGCTCCCCGGAGCCAGGCCAGCTGTTCTGCAAGCGTTAGGGCCCCCGGTGGGCAAGGGACCATGGTCGGTACTTACCCCGGTGTGTCAGAGGGAGGCTGGGACCCGGAGGGATCAGGGTGCCACCAGCCCAGCTAGTGAGTGGGCGCGAGTTCACGGTCGGCCTGGTCTCCATCCTTTTACCCAGATTGGTGCACGCCCTCCTGGTGAAATCCATTTGCACGGGGGCCATTTATAGGAGACAAGCCACACACACACTCTCACACACACACACGTGCGCACACACAGAGAGACACACACGTGCATGCACACACACACTCACACACACGTGCGCACACAGAGACACACATTCACACACACAGACACACACTCTCTCTCACACACACACACACATACACACACACAGTCACACACACATACTCAGGATCTGGGCCCCCTGGAAGGGCAAGTTCTCTCATGGAAGAGGTCCTCCGATGGTGCCCATCTCCCACAGCGCCCCACTACGGCAGCAAGCGGGGTATGGCACCTTCATCGGTGGAGCTTGGGGGGTGCCCCTGCCGGGGCCAGGGCAGTCTCTACATAGACTGTGGGTTGGGACCGTGACGAGGCTCCGGCGTGGAGTCCATTTCCACGGGGAAGCCACACGGGGGAATCGTTGACGGCAACACACACATGTTGGCCAGCGGGAACCCACAGACACTGTGTTTGCTCCGGCCTCCCCCCAAAATTCAAGGTTACCCTGGGGCTCAAGCAAGAGCCGGCAACCTCTGCCCACAAATGTGCGGGGACAGAGCACGCCAGGGCGTGGCTCGCGTGGGAGCAGCCGGGCCCCACCCACAGGGAATTCATCTCGTTTTCCAACAAACTCGGCCGCCTCACTTTCCCAGCTCTGCTCCGATGTACGTACACACACACGTGATAAGGATTCAGTCCTCTACTTGTTGGAACTGGAAAATGTCTTTAATTCGATCTACGCTTGGATAACACGAAGATGGCCAAGACCCTGCCCCCGCCCGATGGCGCCCGGGCCCAGGGCGAGCAGCTGCTACATAAATACCCACATGGCTCTTAGTGGCTTCTTCCAACAGTCAGGTAAAAAACGGTAACATGACGTGTGTGCGTACATATATGTATATATAGGGGTATGTATATAAAACCACGCCTTCTTCATCCAGCCCGAGGAACACGCCGCACGCCTGGCGCCTCTCACCCAACACTGCAAACGCGGGACACGCCATTGGAGGGTCTGTGGGTCGAGGAGGCGGTCCCCCAGAACGGGTGGCAATGAGGGACCAGAACCCCCCCCAAAGAAATATGCCCACTCGGACTGCATGTCCAGTATATGCATATATATATGTGCGCGTATACGTTTGTGTGTGGGGGTGTGTGCAGGTGTGCGAGCCGGCGTGTAGTGTGTGCGTGTGTGCGTCTGCAAGGTAGAAAACACCACTTTATTCCGTCCGTACTAAGCATGTTACACCAGTCGGGTTTGGTGACCGATAACACTTATTTTTTTTTTAAAAAGGAACATCGAAGATATTCAAAAATTGCTACAGTACAAAAAAGTGTGTGTGTGTGTTTATATATTTATATACATCGATATCCCCAGAAACAGCGACTCTGCGGAAGGGATGCCCAGCCCTGCTTCCCGTGAGGTTCCCACGCGGGCGCGCGTGGCTCGGCGGTTCACCAGGTCCCTCGGGTCCTGCATGGCACATAACGGTATTGTTGGCACAGTCAGAAGCGTGGACGGCGCCCGCCTCCCCGGGGGCGTCCGCCTCTGCGCTGGGCCGGCTGCCTCGGCCTCCGGTCCGCCTGGCATTCTCCCCTCGTCCTCTGGTGCTGGGGGCGGGCAGCCCCGTAGGCGCGAGCTTCTCTATAAAAATATATTTGGCCTCTAGCGTCCTGCTCCGAGTCCCCGCCGGCACACAGCGGTGGGAGTGCGGCGAGCCTCCCTCACATAGTGTAGTTTTAAGTTTGTAAGTGTAGTTGAGTTTTTTACAGGTTCACCCACGGGATCCTGTGTGGAAAGAAAACAAAAGGCGATTACATAGCAGTGGGCGGAGGGCAGGGGGGGGTCCTCGCAGACACCCTGGGCCACGGTGACCCGGCCCCGTCCCTGTGCTGCCCGGCTGACGGCCGCCCCGTGTCCTCAGGACAGGACGGTGCCCCGCGCCCCCGGACACACCCGGGAACCCCAGGCAGGAAGTGGGCCCCGGCCCACGTTCACGGGAAGGGGCGGACAAGCCGGTTCAGTTCCCAGCCAGGCGGGTCAAGGTTCCTCAGAGGGGTCACGGGGCGCCCGCCCCCACCCCCGCCGGGCTGCTTCCCGCGAGCTCCGCTGGGCGCTGGCCCCTGGCCCTGGGCTCTCGCGTAGAGAACGTTGTTCCTCCGACGGGCAGAGGCTGCCGGCCTGTCCGTGTCTGGGGGACAGAGCGGCCAGGCTCAGGTGCTCTCCCGTTTCTGATTAGTTCGGGCTCCAGTGGTTTTGAAAGTAATGACCCCAAGATGGATCTCCCCTGGGCTCCGGCCGGGGCCTCCGTCACGTCTCGGGCTCCATCTGGGAAGGAGCGGCCTCGGCGAATGGAAAGGTCTGGGCGCTGAAGTTGACTTGTATGAAAAGTGACAGGAAATGAGCCCAAGAGCCACCCTGGGCGTGTGTCCGAGGCCGCCGTCCTGGGAGCAGGGAAGGCCGCAGCGTCCTGGCGTCCTGCCCGGCACACGGATGAGCTGGGCCGTGGGGGAGCCGGTCTGGGCCAGGCTCTGTGGGCTCATTTCTGAGGCCGAACCCGGGGACACGGCGACGCTGCCTGGGCTGGGGGCCCGTGTCCACCTCTGGCACATCGCTGACCACCCGCCGGCAGGAGGCGCACTTAGCCACGCCTGGGTCCTGGACGTGCGAGTGGGTTCGAGGGAGCAGACAGAGGGGTGGTGACAACTGTCCATCGTCATTAAAATGCATTTGCAGAGGCTCCGCTGCGAGGCCGTAGACAAACACCTCCGCTGGCTCTCAGGCCCTAATTAAACGCTTTCACATTAATTGCTATTTATTTAAGGGGTAACCGGCACCCCAGTAACTCTGAGCCATCTTCCCGGTGACCCCCGCCCGAGGCTCGTGTCCAGGCATTCATTACGAGAATCGGGACGCTCACACCCGAATGTGCTGCTCCCGGCGGGTGATAAACGGCTCCCGACACCCGGCCCGGAATCCTAAGCGTCCATTAGGGCCTTGTCCGCGGGGACGGGAGGCGGCCGGACAGAGCGCTGCTTCGTGCCGCTGGCTGGAGGCCGAGCGGGGCTGGCGCCCAGCAAGTCCTGGGGGCACTTCTCGCCTCACCTACCTGCGTCCACAGCAAGCGAGGGGAGGTCTCCGGATAGGGGGTCCCCTCCTGTAAACCGGGGTGCTCCCGAAATAGCTCCTCGGGCACCGTCGGAGAGTGGGGTCCAGACACCTTGCCGCCTGGGGGCCTGGGGTGATCTGCCCCTCCCCCTACCACCTGACTGACCTCGGCAAGTCATGTAACCTCGTGCCTCTTGCCCTGTCTGGAAGGGGACGCGGGGAGGATGGAGTGAGTTCACAGGCGGAAAGAGCGCTCCCATGAACTGCCATTCAAACGCCCGTGTTAGGGAACTGTCCCCATGGGGGCGCTACCTGCAGCCAAAGGTGCGTGGCTGCGGGCCTGATCCTGTGTGCGTGGGGCCAGCCTCCTGGCTCAGAGTCTTATGCTCTGGTCTCATTTGAAAACCTTTAAAAATCCCTGCAGAGCTGCTGGCCCCGGCAGGCGGCCCACGGAGGCAGGTCCGGGACAGGCGGGACCCTCTGTTCCTGAGTGAGGCCCCGCGGCAGGTCTGGCTGCAGCCACGGGAGCTCCCGGGGCCCCAAGGAGGTGTCCCCCGAGGCAGACCAAGGTGCAGGCGTCCGAGGGCTGGGCCATGCCGTGCCCATCCGGCCTTGAACCCGGGGACAGAACACATCCTGCCCACGTGCGCCCGGGCTCAGCCAAGGCTTCGAGGGGGAGGCTCGCTCTCCGTGCTAATCTAATTACACTTCCCTGCCCGTTGGCTGAACATTGCGCTGAGCAGGCCATGCTGGCGTCGGGACAGGGAGCGAGGGCTGGGATTTAATTTGGAGCAAACACACTGTTCATTAGGACGGGCCTCGGGACAGCGATCCGGCTGGACTGCTGAGAGCTGCTGGCTCCTCGGGCCCCAGCTGAAGGCCGCCAGCCCCATCCCCGAGGGTCCCCCAGGGTCCCCGAGGGTCCAGGGAGCACCTCTCTGCCTGGGGCCTGCACCCCCTGACAATGGCTCTGCCCTGGCAGTGCCCACACGAGAAGGTGAGCAGAGAAAGGAAAACATCCTCAAATCTCCACCGCCCAGGGCAGCGGGGGCCCTGCTCACGGGAGGACCTGCCATCGCCTTTAGAAGGAAAGGCTGCTCCCTGAGGGTGAGCAAAGCAGGGACCCTCAAGACACCCGGCCCCAAAGGGAAGCAGACTTAAAAAGCCCGTACCCGGGGCTGCGCCCGTGACTGCGCTGGTGGGACCCGCGGGCTCAGGGCCCAGCCGGGAAGGAACCCATTTCCCACCCGCATTAGCGTGAACGTCACCGAGAGCAAAGCGAACACTCCCTCCAGGCTGGCACAGGAATCCCCTGTCGGCTGCCAGGGCCTGGCTCCAATTAGCAGCCGCCTCAACACTTCCCTTTCTCTCTCTGCCCCTTTCCTCCTGGTCTCGGTTCTGTGTCTCAAAGTTGGGTTGTAATTGTGCCCTGTGCCCCCCCGCCCCGGGAGGGATGTGCGATGGATGGCGGTGCCCACCCGCTTGGCCGCTGCCCTCAGGGCTGCCCGTCCAGG